GGTTATGCGACATTCTGCACCGTGTTGAGCAAAGGTTCATCTTGGAGCAGGTTTCTTTGTCAATGCACGTTGTTTCAGTAAGTTTACTGCAGTTTGTTAAACATTGTACCGGTGTCAACGTTGAACAGCGTCTAACGAACTCGACAAGGTGGACTGTCACTGTAAGTTCGATAAAGGTTATAAAATGTTAAGAATGAGCAACGGTCGGCAGAGTATTATACACAAATTTCGCATAATTGTGTATATTTAAATTTTTGACGTCTAGTATTATTATTTTATAAAGCTAGAAATCAACAGATTCATAATTGTTCAGAATATTTGTTTATATTGAAATGCATTTTGCATGCAATATCAATCTGTAAGTAAGCTGTATCGATTTACCATACTCGACCTCCTACAGTTCAGTTCTAGATTTAATATGTTTATTATCAATTTCTAAAGTTGATTTCCTGTCGAGCAGCGGCGAAATTTATTGTTCGTCTGGAAATAAGCTGCAGTTCTGCATATAACTACAAAACAGGAAATCCTGCGTACCGGCATAGTGATCAACATTGCAGCAGATAAGTTATGTACGTGTTCCATATTGGAACGTCCGTCGCTTCTCTGATGAAGGTAATTTAGATGATGTGCCATACGGTTGATGAAAGTTTACGTAGAAGAGGATCATCGATTTGCGTAATGCCTTGTTTCTTTAATGGCCAAGTCACAGTAGATTGTCATGCCTGTATGTCCATTTTCTTGTACTATAGAGTAAATCGGGTGAGGTGGGGTGGAACTTGGCGGGGTAGTCGTTTCGGTCGAACAAATGTTGGAGAAAATCCTGGTCTCGTCAGTCATGTAAATGTCAAACGAACGACACTGAATATCGCTATCACCGATGGCTCATAAATATGTTGACTGACTACGACAGAGACGCTGTCTGTAACTGTATGCGATCAGCTTTGAAGTTAACGCCTTGCCGCATTGACATCACAGGTCAGTTCTCACAGGCCACCTCTAGGAGACAAATGTCGGTTGTGAGTACAGTACACGACCAGATGTAAGCAGTTGTTGTAATAATACTGACGGCGCCAATGAGCACGGCAACCGCCAGTTAATCCTTTGCGCGATAAACAGCTTGTTACTCGACTAGGAGCGAGACACCCAGTTTCCGACCGTCCACGAATCTTCACCACTGTGTTGTGCCATTTGTGCAACATGCATGGCAGGTGTAAAATTAGCTGGGTCATCACAACTTCGTCCTTCTTAGTATTCAGAAGCTAGCTATGAAGAAGAGGCGCCGTCGTCCTATCAAAACAAAGTACAGATTTATTTTAGTGTTACATTTAAGTACCCAGCCATAAAGCGGTAGTGTCGATCAAAGTTATAAAGACTTCGAAGAAGGCGCCATTTCTTCAGCGAAAAACATAGTTCGGCCGAACACGACGGCAGCGCTGGCCGTGGGTTGCACGGGAAATCATATCTGTTACTTTGCAAGGGAATCACGCCAAGAACGAGTAGTGGCAATATTCCATCAAAAACGTGAAGTTTCTCTGCTTGAAATCAACAACGTCTACAGGTGAGACAGTAAACCTGACTGCAGGAGAAAATCAGAAGCAGCAGCCAGAAACGGTGACTAGCTAAGATTGTTCAACGGAGTTCGACAGTTATTCCGTAAGCATAGGATTCCATCCGTCCTCATCCAAGATACCAATGATGACCCTTTGGTAGGTCAAAAAGAGCGCATCACAACATATGCGCACCATTTCTAGCATGTGCTCAACAGCTGCCCCAGGATTTATCATTTCTGACCTCCGTTAATTGTTTGCTAATACTAGAGGTTAGTGCAGATTCACCTACAAAACTAGAAATCCAAAAAACCTTGCTACACTTCAAGGTGAAGAAGGGTGAGAGTGAATCGAATTTCTTCACAACTGACTACGGTAGAATGGGAATAGTAAAATGCAACTCCCTACCCTGTTTCATGAAGTAAAACCCACAGATGTTTCCCAGGTGATTCGAGGTGTGGGCTAATTGTCCGTATATTTAAATGGTTTCGGGTGATTGAGTGTTCAAGTTATTGTGGTATCGTACTACAGTTTCAATTCGTCAGTTTCCTGGCAACTTTTTTCTGACTTTCTTGTAAAGGTTGAGGTAGACAATTAGTAGGAGACTTCGCTCAAAGCAGGCAGCCATCCGGATGGGATAATCCTGCTCCTTTTTGCTCTGCGCAGAACCATGGAGCATTGCTAACGATTCTAGTTGCCTCGATTTGCAGATTTCTTCGATTCTAAAGCAGCATACACTTCATTCACTTCATCCTCCGACGATGTGGAAAATTTTGAATTACTGTGTGATAGATGAGCAGAACAAAAAGCATGAAGAGATGCCTGGGAAGAACCATATATGCTGTCAGAATTGAAAGAGAGCTATCTGAATGGTTCCCTATTAACTGGGAGATAATGTTAATGTGG